AAATCGCAATAGCACTCATTCCATCTGGATCAGAGATTGTTTGGCCGTTGGAAGCGGTTAGTGATCTTATTGCATTGCAGGCAGACCTAGCAATAACCACTTTTTGGTAGAATGTAGTGTTCTGGTCCCCTTCTTTAAGCCAGTTTATTCTCGATTTTTGCTTGAAGAAAGATTCTTCAATCCCTCTCAGAAAGATCCATCTCTCATGCATTTCTTTTTCAGCTTGGAAGGTTTCTGGGGAAGGATTTTGGATCGCCTGTTCCTGCAAAACTAGTAAAACAGCGTTAGTCACTCTCACTCTCTTTTCAATTTCTGAGAAACTCTCTTGARTTAGTGCTTTAAGAGCACTTTTTATTTGTTTCAGCTTGAACCCCATAGTAGCRAGATCACTAGCTCGAATTCCACAGAGGTCCCAAGCAGCCTCAACACATGTAAGGAAAGTAGGGTGTTTGGTAAGATAGTTCTGAAATTTGTAAGGCTTAGACCCAGAGGAAGGTAAAGGGCAAGCAAGATCAATTAAGCAAGGAGTATGGTCAGAGAAGGAAAAGGGGAGGAAAGTGGCAACACTTTTAGGGTAAGTGACAATCCAATTCTCATTTACTAAGGCTCTATCCAGCTTCTTTGTGATAGGATCCTCTGGCCTTTTGTTAGTCCAGGTATGAGAGCACCCCTGGTAACGCATGTCATCCATACCCAGGTTCAACATAATGTCCTTCAGCTCAATCATATCATCAGATAAGTGATTAACRGAGGCTTTTGAGTGCTCAGCAAAGTGCATGATTTGATTTAGGTCCCCACCGATTAACCAACTTGTGTTTTCCAAGAACAGAGTTTGCTGAAGTTCCAAGAGTTCCTCCCACAYCGGCACCCTTTCCTCTCTTGTATTTGAAGCATAGACAGCCGTGAAAGTGAACTTGAAGCCCCCAGGAAGAGCAACAGAGGACGTCAGAGATTGTTTTGATTGGTGAAGGACTTGGACAGAGCAAAGGTCCTTCCAGATCAGAATGATCCTACCATCAGCATCAYTGTCATGGTTCGAGGTAAAGTTCCAGCCAGGACATGCTCTCATCATAACATGATTCAAATTTTGTTTCTTGATATGTGTTTCCAAAACAGCACCAATGAGAGGCTGGTAAGWATTCAGCCATTGAGCAAAAGGTTGATGCTTGTCCGGGTCATTTAGGCCACGGACATTCCAAAAAAAGGTCTTGGGATTCATTGYGATTTGGGAGGAGCCTCCTCCAGCTTCAGAAGAGGGCTCACAAAAAGGTTTACAGGAGTAGTCGATTGACTGGTTGTTATTAAGGTGAACGAGTTTGGGCTAGGGTGAGCAGCTGGTGAGATGGGGGGAGTAAGTACCAATGGTTTTCTAGGAGTTTTTTTTTGCTTTGCCATTTGAAGGTATGTTGGTGGAGGTATTTGTGGTGAGATTATGGGTGGTGAGATAGTGGGTGAGTTTGTTGGAGGGATTAGAGGGGTTGGCGGTTTCTTTTGGTGGCTAGAAGGTTTGAAGGGGTTAAACTGTTTAGGGTTGAGATTTATGGTAGGTATAACAGGGCCAGGGGTTGGGGGAATCACAACCACTTGTCTCGAGTGGAAAGCAGCACCAAGACCCAGCACACAATTTTGAATAACATCCATGGGGGATCCAGGGGAGGAAGTAGGCCCAGGGGATGCTTYAGGAGAGCTGGACTCAATTTCCATGCTATCAACCACTTCAGTATCTGGAACCACTATAGAGGGTTGTTGGTCCAAGCCTGGAGAAACCGCAACAAGAGGCTCCACAATAGGCMAGTTRGGTTCAGGCTGCACAATCTCTGGGGGAACACTAGAATCCTGAAGAACCGTAGAAGGATCATCAATAGCCGCGGTAGTTGAGTTTGAATCTTTAGTCTTCTTTTTATTCTTACTGACAACCGGCGTCCATTGAYCAGGCTTTGGACAGTTCCTCATTAGGTGACCAGTTTCTTTGCAGCTAAAACAAGTWGGAGGTGGAGTAGCACTTACAGAGTCAGCCTTAGTGAAGGCCTTTGAATGTTTGGGTTTTTGAGTGGCTACTGGC